TGTTAACATGGCAACGTCGGGAAACACGGCCGTAGCTCCTTCTGAGTCCAGTTTAAGAACCCATTGTGGCCCTTGAGTTAAAAAGTTTGCCCACCCCTGGTCTAGGGGCTGGCAGCAGTGGCAAGAGGAAGGCAGGAATCCCGTGAAGTCCAACACTCCGTGCAAGTCCCAGGCCTGGTGCGTATTCACCGTGTGAGCATGAGCCACGAGTCTAACATGTCTGAGCCTCCATTTTCTCACTGGAAACTGGGGTGATAGCGCACCTCTAACAGGTGGCTGTCCCCACATGCATCCTGAGGGCAGGCCAGCTGAGGCTCAGACGTCCTCGCTTCCTTCCCCAAACTGTGGACTGGAGCCCAGCTGAGGGTCAGGCTTTGCTCACAGACCGGCCACTCAACCACAGCCTTGCTCAACCCCCCGGCCACCGCGGCTCCTGCGCGTGGAAGGTGCTGCTGAACATCGTGCGGAGATTATAAATCCTCGGCAACTCAGGTTCCTGGCTTTCAGCTTAATGATAATCACCTGTACTCCAAGCCTTCTAAAATGCCAGGCACCAGGCTCATCCCATCACAAACACCCTCCTGCCATTCTCAGAACAGCGGGAGGTTGGTACTGTGATTTCTCCCATTTTCAGATGAGCAGACAGCCTCAGAGAGGCTAAGCTGCTTCCCCCTGGTCCTGTGAAATGAGTGCACCCCTAACCACTGGGACACACCACTTCTGACAGCGGCTGACTGAGCCCGCCCACAAGCCTGGCCCTGGCCATGCAGCTCACAGCAGGAAGCCATCCTTCCCTGAGAAGTTACGAGGATCCTGCATTTCTGCAGAGCTGAGGGGCTGTTCTTCCACATCCGAGTCCAAGCGTGTGCCAGGGCTGGAGCTCTGGGCCGCCCTCATGGGTCTGTCCCTAACGAGATCTCAGGAGAACCCCAGCCCTCACTGGGGAGAGGCCCCAGGGAGAGGCCCACATGGGCCTGAGGGTCATCTGTGCTGGGGCTACCACTTACAGGAGCCGTGCTGTCCATGGGGGACCCCGAAGCGCTGAAGAATGAGAAGGCTAGACCTTTGGAAGCCTCCAGGCTGGGCGAGGACATCCTCTCGAAGAGGCACCAGTGTGACACGATGGTGGACAGTTCCCTGTGGGCACTCAGGACCCAGCATCCCGCAGACAAGATCCTGAAGTGGCAGCCCTGTGTCCGGAGGGCAGAGGGAAGCAGCTCGCACCTGCTCGGGCAGGAGCAGCACGGTTCATCTTACCCCTTTGAGGAACTGCTTCCAAGAAACACAAAAAGAAACATTCTGAGGACTGGGTATTTTTCCACTTGGCAAACGTCTGTGATTTGTAGGACACATGGTACTCTGTCCCGACTCCGGTCCTTTCCTTCTTCCTCCACCCACGATCCTGTCCGCCTGGCTCAGGCCAAGGGCCCAGGTCAGCTGCACACTCAGCTCCGGGCCTGTGTCCCTCAGTGGGAGGACCATGGAGAGCGCAAGGAGAGGGGCCGCCCAGCTGCCACCAGAGCCAGCAAAGTTTCTCGAAAAGCAAACGTCCACCTTGGTTTCTCTAGAGCCAGTAAGTGTCAGACAGACCTGAGTGGGCATGTTTCCTGGTTTTGCAGCGTGTCCGCAGAGTAGGGGATGCACAGGGCAAAGCCACCCGCCACCCTAGCCACAGAATGAGGCAGCTGGGGCCCAACAGCCACCAGCATCCTCCTAAAAGAAGCTAGAATTTTTTAAAAAATCTAGTTTGAAGGGGTCCTTGAGACTGTCCTCAGAGACAATTTGCAAATTAGGAAACCCAAAAGAAAAAAGAAAAAGAGAGTGGGAAGAGGTTATTTAAAAAATGTATTCAAGCAGCATTTGTTTATTTACAAAGTACATGCTATAATCATTAGTGCTGGGTCACTAGAAGGTTTACAAAGATTAGTTATATTTAGTCCTTACCCTCAGGGACCTATCAGGAGAATCGCCCCCAAAAGGGCTTCATCCCATCTATTGTTTCTGTCCATAATTTTTAGGTCTGGTTTGCTTTGGCAGAAGTGACTCAGCTAACAATTGGGCTGAAGACATTTGAAATCAGAGTTAGTGTAGCCAATCTGAGTTCAGCCCAACGCAACGGCGCTGAGTGAGCATCTGCTATATGGTAGGTACTGGGCCCGGCACCAGGGGTGCAAAGGTGAGTGGCATATAGTCCCTGTTCTCAAGGTTCCAGTCTAAATGTCTCCGGACTTCAAGTGGAATAAATGCCATGAAGAGGCATGACATGCATGGGCAGAGAGAGAAGGACCACATGGCTGGAAATCCGGATGCTTTCTGAAGAAGGTGGCAATAAAGAGTTAAAACAGCCCTCCCCAACCTCTGTCTGTCCTATCCTCTTTGCTCTTCCCAGCCAAGTCAGTTTATTCATGCATTTAGTCATTCATTCAGACATTCACTAAATATTTATTAAGCTCCAAGGTGTCCTCAGTACTGTTCGAGATATGGGGATACAGGATGAGTAACACAGATAAAGTCCCAACAATCTGCATACATTCCAGTAGGGTGGGGATGGATGACCGAGACCAACAAACGAATAAAATAAATAAGAGGTCAGCGATGCTGTAAATACAAATAGAACAGGGCGAAGGAGACAACTAGTGAGTGTGGATGGGGAAGGCATGTGTGATTCCACACGAGGTCTTTGAGAAGGCTTCTCCGAGGTGGAGACATCTGCGCAAGGACCCGAGTGAAGAGGCAGAGTGAGCCTGAGCCCTTTGGGGAAGGGGGGGGGGGCGGGGGGGGGGAGTATTCCCGGTAGAGGGGATGGCAAATACAAAGGCCTGAGGCAGAAACACATTTGATGGCCAGATGGCAGGAGCATCCTGAATGAGTGAATGAGCAGAAGAACAGTGAGAGACCTTGGACGGAGAGGCAGACAGGGCCTGACTGGAGGGGCCATGTGAGGAGTTCAGATTGTATCCACGGGTGATGGAAGCCCCTGGAGGGCTTAATGATCTGATATGGGTTTTACCAGATGATTGTGTCTGTGGGGTTGAGAAAAAGCTTGAAAAGTTCAAGACAGGAAGCAAGGGCAACTTGTAAAATATTTTCAATTTGAGAAAAAATAGAGTTGACCTTTCTGATGAAGGGAAATAACAGGACGAGTCAAGCCGGGGGTGGGGGACTTCAGGGCTCAAGTTTGGACCTCGGTTTAACATGCACTTTAGATGTCTGAGTGGAGACACTGAGCAGGCAGTTGGGATAGTTGAGTGAACTTCAGGGAGGAGTCAAAAAATACCCACCGCCACTCAGAAGGCGAGGGAGGTGCCTGACAGAGTGCCTGAAGATTTGGCTGCAGGACATTTTACGACTTCCTTTCTTAGAGAAGCCTCAATAGGATGTTGAGGGTAAAAGCCAAATTGTGGGTGTGAAGACAATGAGTAGAGGCTATTCTCTCAAAAGAGCCAAACATTTTGGCTTTGTTCACTCTCTATTTCTTTGTTTTCTATTTCATTAATTTCCACTCTTTATTATCTCCTTCTTTCTATTATCTTTGGGTTTTCTGTTCTTTTTTTAAACTCCTAGTGTAGAGTCTTAACTAATTTTCAGCTTTCCTTCTTTTCTGATGGAATGTTTCAGGATATAAAAGTTTCCAAACATCACATATGCTGCATTCCACAGGTTTTGATATGTGGTGATTTCACCTTCATTTCGTTCTGAGTATTTAACATTTTCATCCTGAATTGTTCTTTGACCCTGCCTTCTGTCTCATTCCAACAAGGATTCCATTACAGAGATAAGTGTACTGCAGAACACCAGCAAAAGTGACCGACAGATTTGAATAACACACAAATGGACATTCTGGCAATGAAAAAGGTAAGCACTGAAATGAAAATCACATCTGATGGATAAAACAGAAGATGAGACACACCAAGAGAGAATTTATTTAGAATGCAGCAAAGAAATATAAAAACACGTGCAAAATGAAAGAGTTCTCCAAAGAAAGAATGAGAAGGCTTCATATATCTGATTGGAGTTCTGAAATAGGGACTATAGAGAGAATGGAAGCGAGGCGTAAGGATATTCTAGAAATGATGAGAAATGCAGGTGAACCCAGATCCAGGAAGTATAAACTATCCTGAGGAGGATAAATTAAAAACAAATCCATGCCTAGACACATTGTAGTAACATGGCAAAACGTCAAAGACCGAAGACCTTGAAAGCAGCCGGAAAGAAAAGACAGATGACTGAAAAAGGACAGTTAGAATGACAGTTGACTTCTCCACAGAACAATGGAAACCAGAAAACGAGCCCTGCAGTACTGAGTGGTAGCTGCCAACCTGGCCTTGTGCACTCAGCAGAAATATCATTCATGAATAAGAGCAACACACTGACAGGAACTATTCTAAAGAGTAAACTTCAAGGGCCCTGGCTGGGGGGTTCAGGTGGTTGGGGCATTGTCCCGTGCACCAAGAGGTGGGAGGTTCAATTCCCAGTCGGGGCATATACCTAGGCCGCAGGTTTGGTTCCCAGCCTTGGTTAGGGTGCGTGTAGGAGCAGCCAATGGATGTTTCTCTCTCACATCTCTCTCTCTCTCTCTCTCTCTCTCTCTCTCTCTCTCTCTCTCTCTCTGTCAAAAATCAATGAATGTATTCTCTGTAGAGAGCGGCTACAGCATTTGGACAGGTTCAAGCCTCGGACTAATGAGAGAGCACGGCCCTCTCGTGGCAAAGCCACGTGCCAAGTCCCAGCTTGGAGGGCAAAGCCCTCCCAGCACAATTATAGCCAACGGCTATAGTTGTAAGCTTGACCTTATGGTCCGAACCTGTGGTCCCAGGTGGCTAAGTGATATAGGCTGCGGGAGGTGCAGCAAGTGCTGCCAAAACAAAGCTTGGTAGGGTTCAGGTGCATGTAATTGAATAGATTCAAAACCCGAGAGAACATTGTAAACATCTTGACCATGCCCTTACTTTGCCTCGTGGAATCTGGCTATAAATAAAGACTCAGCTTGCAGGCTGTGGCACTGTCTCTCCATCCGAGAGCAGCATCCCACCTAGCCCCAGCTTTATTCTCTTGTCTGTCTTCTTTAATTTTTCATCACCCCTCCTCAGGTTCACCCCTCTCCATGCCGAGTGCGGCACAGTTCTCAGGTGAGGATAAAATAAAAATAAACTTCAAGGAAGAAAATGATGCCAACAGTATGGTGTCATTTGCAAGAAATGATGGTAAGCAAATAAATGGTAACTATAGCAGTAAACTCAAAATGTCTTTTGCTGAGTTAAAAAAATATTCTAAACAGCACTCTGAGTTCAGAGGGAAAGAAATGGAGCTAAATTCTAGGAGAGGATGGAAATTATAGTTCAACTTTAAGAGTTTAGGTTAACAATGGACACAGACACCAGGGGGGTGAGGGCAAAAGGGGGGGGTGGCAATGGGGTGTAAGGACACATATGTAATCAATAAAGAAAGAAAAGAAGGATTTTAGATTAAATATGTGTGACAAACTTTGAAGGCAACCACTAAAAGAATAAAAATAGCTTGCAAACATTTCAACTGTGTAGAGAGGGAAAAAATGAAATACAGGAAAGTATTTGATCAATTGTTTTAACAGGCAAGGATGAGGGATGACAGAAATCGCCAGGTGAAAATAAAACCGCTTTGCTCTTTATGCAAGGCAAGACTGAATGACAAGGCACGGAAAAGTCTCCTGCCCCATCACGGAGTTAACACGAGAGTGACTGGTCAGACGTGTGCTGGTGGTGACACTGCCCGTCCATGGAGTGTGGACTGTGAGGGGCCAGGCGGGAGGCTGAGTGATAGTTAGGAAGCTTCACCACCGTCTAGGCCAGACATGACCAGTACCCAGGCCGAGGCTGTGTCAGTGGCAGCGGGGGCAGGCAGAGAGGGCTGGGAGGTGAGAAAGACATCCTTGTTATCCTGAGATAAAGCCCCCAGTGGGTAAGCTCTTCAAGTCAAAATGCAGCCACCACCTGGCCGGTGGTGTGGCTCAGTCAGGAGGTCACGGTTCAATTCGTGGTCAGGGCATATGCCCGGGTTGCAGGCTTGATCCCCAGTGTGGGCCATGCAGGAGGCAGCCAATCAATGATTCACTCTCATCATTGATGTTTCTATCTCTTTCTCCTCTCCCTCTCCCTTCCTCTCTGAAATAAAAACATAATTTTTTTTTTTAATCAACAGCCACAGGCCTCTGATCTCACACCGGGAAACGGAAGCACTCGTCCTATAGCCAGGTCTGGATTCTGGGCTCCACATCAAGGCATCAGGAACTGGGAGAGGCGGACCTGTCTTCCCTCAGGTGACGTCATCCATGCTCTAGGCAGTCTGCCCTTGTGGGAGGTGCCTATCCCATGGTCGCCTTGAAAACCTGTCTCTGCAATTGTCATTTGAAGCTCTCCTCCCTCGCAACTAGGCAAACACTGGGTGGAGGAGAGAGAAACACGGGCACTACCTTAAAACTACCAAGCCTGATGTCCCTGCCACAAAAATTCCTTCCACTTGAAGGAAGCGTGGCTGACTCCGCCTCCTGCTCTTCGTTCTTCACACCTCAGGACAGGAGGGAGGAGGTCCTATTGTTTGGTTAGGTCAGGCGCGCAGTACTTCTCACATTTCCATTTACAGATGAGGGACAGCGGCCCAGGTGTGGATGTGGCCTGCCCACAGTCGCTCAGCAGTCAGCGGCCACACTGAGAAGGGAAACCAGTTGTCTGGGGCGGGGTCAGTTTGTCTCTCTGCTGTCAGGTGTGAATCTGTTTTGGTTTTAAGAGGCAGGCAGCGAAAGAGAAACTGGCCGACTCAAGCCTGTATTTCCATCCACCCACTGGTCTTCCTCCTCCTTTATGTAAAGAGGTTTGGTTTTGTTCCAACAAATAAGGAAGATTCTGAGATGACTATAGAACCTTGCCTTTTGATTTTAACAGATTTCTCAAGCTCAGGTGTCACAAGGCAGTTCTTAAGAAAAAGACCAGCATCCTCACGACAGTCAGTGAAAGAGAAAATAGAAGAGGAAAGCATTGAAGTGTTTCTTATTTAAGAGTTTCCCCCAACTAATAAACACCAATTTATATGTTGGAAGGACTATCTGAGTGTCCATCACAGAAGATGACAGGCTATCTGGAATGGTGATGTTTCTAAAACATGGTGGATAAAGAGCACAGTCCGAAAAGCTTCTGAAGAGAGGCGGGCGGGCGGGTGCTCAAGGTCAGATACAGAGGAGCAGGCGTCAGGAGGATTGGGTTTCTCAATAGTAACCCTGGAAGCTAGACCATACGGACCCTTGCTTTCAATATTCTGTGCGAAAAGCATTTTCAACCTAGAATTTTACGTTTGGTCAAACTCTCAAGCAAGGACATTTTCTGACAAGCCAGGTCTTAAATATTTGCCACCTCCTGAGAGATGCTGAGAATGGCCAGCTAACCTCCATATTTGGCTGAAGCCCAAAGCCACCATCATCCAATGAGCTTTTGAGACACGTGACTACATCAGAAATTTTATTTTTAAAGAAGACTACTTAATATGTTTTGAATATTCCAAGTTTCAGAGGTTGGTCTTTAAAGTTCGGAGTTAGAACCAGCAGCCATCATTTGTCAGCACTGGAAGCGGCTCGCTGACGCCTGTGGTCATTGTGTTTGTCACACACAGATGCCCACTTCCCGCTCAGGTTTGGGGGCAGGGTGGGGGGGAGAGAAAGGTATTTTTAGTGTCTCCTTGCCAGTACTGCGGAGTTATTCTTTTCTTTTCTCCACATAACTAAGGTAATGTTTATTTCGTTTTTAACTCCTACTTAGAGATTTGGTTGCTGATGAAGATGCTACTTAACTGAAGTTCTGTACTGTTGGAATATCTTCATAACGAAACTTTAGATTTTTGTTCTGACACCAATTTGTACTTTTTGAAACCTTGGATAAACAGGTGTGGAAATAAAGTAACAAGACTAGCTTTCAGAATAACAATCTGTAAATTTCCATCTGCATCGGAGATTTTATTGCATGCACGCCAAATTCAGCATTTTCCCTAGAGAAGAAAGAAGGGGGGGGGGTCTTTTTTTTAACCGGACTAACTTAAGAAAAAGGGGCACTGTCAAGGTTCATTATTCCGGTTACTTCTACAGCAGATTCTAGCAAATGAATTAGTTTCTCTGCAAATCAGCTTGTGGGTGTTAGCAAATCCCACTCAGCTGGTATTACTATATAGTAAGTCATTTTTTAAAAATAATCAAGTCTGCTTTTTCATCTTGTTTGACGATCTCACATAAATAAATGGCAAAACAATTCCAGAGTCACATACTTTCTCTTTGGCTAAAGAAGAAGAATGATGAAAATGGCCCACTATTTTGTTTCGGCCTGTAATTCTGGTCAAATATGCAGTTATAATTTCATTCTTAATATACAGTTTAAGGATGCATACAAAATTTTTTGCTTGTGATTCCTAAATCACTTACTTCCTTCACTATGATTTTTCTATTGGCAACCTAAAGATTGGTTTTCTATCTTATGAATATGTTTTCTACCAGTTTCATCGTTCTCTTGCTGAGACTTTCCCAGCTAGAACACCGTAACTAAACACCGAGAGAGAAAACATACAGCATCAACATTCTCACAGATAATCCTGGTTTTGAAGTTATCAGACATTATTCTAAAAAATAATTGATTGGTATTTTTTAAGAACAGATGACAAGACGGAAATTTCACCAGAGAATTGAAACCTATAAAAAGAGTCACATGGAAATGACAGGACTGAAAAAAACAACTGAAATGAAGCATTCCCTGATTAGCTGAACTTCTTACACAGCAGAAGAGAGAATTCATGGCGAGGAAGACAGGTTAATAGAAAACACCGAAGTGAGGAGAGAGAGAAAAAAGATGGAAAACAGACAGAGTGGGAGATGCATGTGAAACAAAGAAAGGGGCTAGTACGAATGTTATTAATGTCTCAGAAGGAGAGAGAAAAGAGAAGGGGACAGAGGACACTTTAAGAACCACTAGCCAAGTGAGAAGAAAATGTTTTCTTTACCTCGTTTTGTCCTAAAAACTTTCTTTTTTACACATTACTTATATATTTATTATTATGTCTGCGTTGAAGATGATTCACCATGGATGATGTTTGAAGTTTTTTCCTCCTTATGAAATGTTGAAGGGACAAAGTACCTCCTCACAGGTCATGGCAAAATTTCTTGAAATAGCCGTGGCCTAAATAGAATTAAATAACAAAAAGTGAAACATAGTTCTTAAAGTTTATTTTGTTAGTGTTGTGAATGCTGGTACATAAACCATTCTGTGATGATTCAAATTATGTTGTAATGTAACCTCTATTATCCTTTTTGTGGAGCTTAACTTTTTTTAACATTTTTAGTTCAAAAATTTCTTCAAATAGTTATCTGACTAACCACTCTATCTTACCCTTCATATCGACTGATAATCTGTTTCCTATGTATTCAACTATTCAAATGTTTTTTCATAATAGTTTTTAAATAGAATAACTCATTAATTATGGCAGCATTTCAATGCTGAAGAATTAGACATACATTTATATTCAACTTATTTATAGAATTAAAACATATCCTATACACAAGGAGATACTCCAAAATACATCTAAAATGATGACTTATACTTGAAGGTAAATATTCTAATATTGTGCTAATTATTACTGACATGTTGGTGCTAATTAGATATGACAGTGACTCTCAAGGTCACACAATTATTGGCTGTCACAAACTCATGGATGCCAGGAGTTATGTTGAAGCATGCCTTTGGGTCTCTGGCCTTCTCAAGTCTGAGGCTCAATACCAAGGCCAAAACTAGTTCCCAGCCCATGCATACTATCCCCCATTTCTCAGGGGGTCTTCTACCAAAATGAATGTGTGAACCAAGAAAGAAGAAAGCATGGGATTCAGGCAACACGAGGTCCAGCTTAACGGAGGGAGGAAGCAAATCTCTAGTTGATGGTGAAAGGAGGCTTTGGGTCCACAGCTGTGAAACAGGTGTAGCTGGCAACCAGTCCAGAGGATCCATAGATAGAGCTCCAGGAAGTTGAACTTGATAGAATATCTGATGTGTCTGAAGGACAGGGGAAGTGGGGAAGGGTTTAGATGGAGAGGTGAGAGCTGAGGTTAGGGTTAGGGTTAGAGTTAGGGTTAAGGTTAGTGATAGCTATGGAAACTTGTATCAGACACGCACTCTACGAGCCTCTTCTAGCTGTTGCTGCAATGGGCCAACCAGCAGTCCCCAGAGTTTGTGTTCTCTCATCACGGCCAGCGTTGGATGAGACCCTTTGCCACGGGGTGTGGGACCTGGGCAGCCCAAGAAGAGGCCGGATAATGCAACCTGGATGTGCCTGGAAATACATTCACAGTGAGAAAACATTACCGAAGTGAGAGACCAGAGACAGGAAGGAGGCGACCGATGAATTCTCTTTCCTTCTTCTCTTCCATGGCGGATTGCAAAGATGTGGTTTCACCTTGCAGCTCGCTCAGCTGGAGAAATCGCAGGTGCAAATGAACATACCTGGCCACGCCACTGGCTGCAGCTCTTTGTGGCTCTCGAAGAGCTCACCACTTTGCATTGTTGCCTGTCTTCAAAAGATACATTTAAAAACGCATTTCCAGTGCTAGTTATGACAAAGGGCAAGACTGTGGTTGTGTTGCTCTTCACTCTAAGGCGGAGTTAGGGTAAGTGTCTGTTTCACTTCTAAGGGAACTTGAAGTTTTCTGGAGTAATTGTGCCTTTTTCTGTTTCCTCTAGCTCAGGTGATCTGCCTGTGATGCTCCTCAAAGGAGTGGACGTCTCGTCAGAACTTCCTGCAGTCGGCAGTGGGCCCGCATCACCTGCAGTGATGGTGAGGAGCCCCCGGCTGGTGCTGCGTGAGTCAGACCCAACCTGCACCCTCACTCCGAGGCCACTGAGCATCAGACACGGGGCTTCCCCCTGCCCGGGTGGACTCTGCCCTGTCCCTGGCGGGAGTCCAGCTGCTGGCAGCTCTGGCAGCCGCTGCAAATCAGAAACCAGGGCCGTGGATGGAGCTGCTTGAAAGCACCCTCTCAGGCAGGAGCTTCTGTTGTGCCGGCCAAGAAGCCTGGTGGTTTCCTAGGACAGCGCTGTCCAGGCTGGTGGCTGGAGTTGTCCAGGGCGTAGACCCATCGAGGGAGGGATTGCGTTAGCCTGGGAGGAGGCACCCACTAAGCGCCAGATGCCCCGCTCGGTCCTTTGTGAGCACGGTCGCTAACCCCACAACAACTCGTCAGGTTTGTAAGTCTTGTTCTGTCCTGGAGATGAGAAGCTGGTGTTCAGAGAGGTCAAGTAACTGGCCAAAGGCACAGAGCACTAACTGGGGGATCAAAGATCCATCCATCCGTCCATCCGTCCATCCAGTGCCCCGTGTTTCCCACTAACATCCCACTGGCCCCCTTCCAGAAGCAGGCCAGGCAGTGGTGCTGGATGCTGAGAACAAGCAGTTGGTGCAGAGGTTCCCAGGGAGAAGGGTCCCAGCATCTGTCTGCTCCCAGATCACTGCCACAGCCGGGGCTAGGGGACAGCTCGAGCCAACGGCAGCACCTGTGAGGCTCCGGCAAAGGGCTTCATCATTGTCATCGTCACGGCTGTCATTGTGGTTTGGCTGCACGCTCCACAGCCGATGAAAGCCTTGCACATCCCTCCTTTTATTTGAACTATAACACCTTGCCAAGTAGATGTTAACGATTCTCAGAATGAAACTCAGAAACGTCCTTCCTCCCACAATCTTCCTTCCCCGTGAGTGGTCAGGGTAGCCCCTCTGGGGGGGCGGGAGGGAGGAGCCAGCTCCCCACCTGGGCAGTGAGGGGCCCGGCCAGGTATCTGTGGACGGATGGACGGACGGACGGACGTGAGTCCTCACCCAGGTGAGGGCGGAAGACGCCAGGCCCCGGGGATCAGCTAGCATTTGAATTCAGCCGCAGAACAGCAAATATTGATTCAAGAAGCTGCCCAAAGGAGCTGACATTTTTATAGTCAACAAATCAAACCCAGCCCCTCCCAGCGCCCCCGGGCACAGGCCCTTCCTCTCCAGGCTGCCAGGGCCCAGCTCTGCCACCGCCCTGGGAAGAGGAGGAAGAGCGGGTGGGAAAGGTCCACAGGGCCTGGCTGGCGTGGCCACTTCACCTTTCGAGGGGAGGAGGAGCCCCCCCTGCAGGGGTGGGACCTGGGGAACCAGCCAGCCAGCCTGACAGGTGTCAGAATCCCCTGGGACAGAGCAGGACCTGGGCTGAACCCCAAGGACAACGGACACACACCCCACACAGCTTCCTCCTGGGGTGGCTCTCTGCTCTGTAGCACGGGCTGGGGCCCCTCATTCATGGATGAGGAACCTGAGGCCCAAAGAGAACAGTGCCTCTGTAAGGTAAACAGCGAGACCCCCTCACCTTCTGTTCAGGCAGAAGGAGGGTCCAGGCAGCCGCAGTAAGCAGGCAGACACTGCCCCTGCCCTCTGGCTCTGCCCACATGACTTGAAGCTGCACTCATGCGCCTGCCTGCATCCTTTGCTCCAGCAGGTCTCCTACCTGGAGTCGCTCCCTTCCATAACCTCCTTGGAATGCTGCTCACCACTCCCGCCCGGCCCTCGCCGAGTGCTCCGAAGCACAGGCTGGTTCCCGTCGCTGGCACTTAGGCGGCTGCGCCTGGGGTGCATCATCCTGGCCTTGTCTCAGTCCTTCCAGACCAAGAGCCCCAGCGAGAGCAGCGGCTGCACGGGATCCATTCCTGTGGCCTCAAAGAGCCTAGAAAAGTGCCTGGTGTTGAGCAGGCCTTCAGTGTCTGTGGAATTGAATTAGAACAACCCAAGACACTCGATGCAGAAACCCAGGAGCAAATTCGGCTGCGTGTGAACCAGGGAGGAGGCCGAGGAGCCCGGGTGGCCCACGGCAGGAAGGAGGCGTGTTCCTTCTCTGCTTGCTCAGGCTCAGCCTGCTCCTCACCCATCCACCCATCGCTGAGGGGTTGAGCCTCTGGGTGGGTCAGCCCTGGCTGAGTGCCGTGAAGGCAAAGGCGGGGAGCTCATGCTCTGCATTCTGTGTGGAGCTTCTGGAGCACATGGGCATCCTGGCCAGGGACCCAGAGGCACTGGAAGGTGCATTTTCCCGGCCCAGTGATTAGGTGTTTGCATGGAGCTAGCTCAGGGCAGAGCTGGGCACACAGTGCAGATTTCATCACCTACATGAGACCCTCTAGGACTCTCTCTTGTCCTGAGCAGGCAGTTCTGTGGCCTAAGGCCATAGGGCCACCCAGGGATCAGTAGTGGGGGGGCTCCCTAGTCTCCACAGGAGGCCTCCATATATGGTAAGGGTGTGTCCAAGGCGACTGTCCCCTCTGTCACCAATTCTCAGACATCAGGAAGGGAAGAAAGGGCATGCGGACCAGCAGTTGATCTTTAGGAAGTTGACCCAGGAGCATTTGGTTTTTGATCATATCTGGTCTGCCTAAACTTTGTCATGTGGCCATACCTACCACAAAGGCCTCTGGGAAATGTAGTTTCTTGTGGGGCAGCCACACACCCAGCTTAAACTCGGCAAGGTTTATTGTTCAAATGAAAAAGAGTATGGATACTGGGGACAGTTGGTGGTCTCGGACTTACTCCCACCCACCCTGAACAGTGCCTGGTTCTCCTCATGGGCCTTCCATGCCTACCCCCGCCCCCCACCCCCAGCTGGATCACCAGCCACCATCCAGCTCCGAATGACCTTGGGCGTCCTTTTCCTCATCTGTAAAAGAAGAGTTTCAGACCACGGATCACTGAGGTTCCTTCCAGCACTGCCACTTGACGTCCGTGGTTACAGGCGAGTTATTCAACCACTCTGGGTATCAATTTCCTCATCTAGAAAAGAGATTAAAATAGTTCTTACCTCAGAGGCTTGTTGTGAAATCATCCCGGGTTATGCCTGACATATAAGAAATAATCAATAAGTGCTTGCTATAATCAAAATAATCTGAGTTCCGTCTGTCATTTCCTTAGGAAGAATCTGATGTACTGGCTCATACCGAGGCCTCACACAGGGTCAGTAAGTACTTGGCACAATCCCTGCCCTAATCCTCCCTCTGTAACAGGAACAGACGTCGTTAATCCATCAAGACGTTCTCCGTGTGAGCCAGGAGCCAGCCTCACAGGCCTCCATGCAGCCCCGCCAATCAACCCAAGATGGCACCCCCTCCTCCAGGAAGCCTCCTTGCTTCAGCCCCAGGTATGCTCCCCGCCGCCTGCACATGCTCCTCTCGTGCTTGTGTTATGCTCGCCTGTGATTTCCTTTTTGCCTGCCTGTGCTCCAGCTAGACTGAGGGCTGCTTTGGTCTCTCCAAGGTCCAGCCCAGTGCCTGGAACATTGTATATATCGAAACAATGGATGCTAGACCCTGGGGCTGGCAAGTGGGGAGATGTTTAGGGGTGGGCAGTGGCTACGGGACCACCTCACAGAAGACCATGTTCCCTGCCTCCGGAAGCTGCCACGGGAGCTGTGGGGTGGGTCTCCCAGCCCAATGGCCCCTGCAGGGCGAGCTGGACACTCCCGAGGGATCTGGGGCAGCCAGCACAGGTGGGGACCGAACCAGGCCAGCGAACATGGTGGCCCCATGATTTCTCTGAGGGACCTGCCTCCCCAGGGCCTGTGTTGTCGGCCTGCACCTCAGGCTCCAGGCTGCAGGGCGACTCCCAAGTGAGCCAGGCACCTGCTTTCTACTCCAACAGACTGACACTCAGTAGCACCTTGGCGACATGGAGAATGAGGGGGGGGAGCGGGGGACCTGCCGCCACCTGCCTGGTTACCCCAGAGAGGTGCTCGCTGCTGGGGCTCAGGCCGGCGGGGTAGAGGCTGTGGGCACACTGTCCCTGAGCTGCGTGGGGTGCCCACTCCTCTCTGGAAGACAGGACTTTTTCTCACTGACCTCTTAATAAGCCTTCACGAGGTTCAGAAGGTTAACGCTGAAGGGAACAGCCGTGTTTATCTTTCGTTTTCTGTCTGATTTCTTCAGTGGCCTTTATGTGTAGGAAGTTCTTTACCATTCAAACCGGCCCATGCTTCTCTGGTTTCCTGCGGCAGCTTCACCTCTAACTCGGCGTTGGCCCAGCCCGCCCCGGGTTGGCAGGTGGCTGAATGCTCCTGGGCTCCTGTTTCCCCAGAGCGAGGGGGTTGGGCTAAACCAGACCTTCCCAACGCCGTCCGACATGCTTCGTGGAAAACGGGTTTCCTGGGCAAAGACGTTTGGAAAATGCAGGTTGCATCAAAAGTTCTGAGAAATCATACAATAAAACAGCGATTTTCAACCGGTGTGCCGCAAGAATTTTGACAACACGCAATACCTGCCTGTTTGGTCAGGGGCACGACCTCTTTTCCGGCTCAGGGGATACCTTGTTACCTGTGGTCACCCCCTTCCACAGAGGAGCGAAGGGAGGCTCTCCCGCCAGCTGTTTTAAGCCTGATTTTGTCCCCATTGAACTTTAACCCCATTGTTCAATGGTGTCTGAAGAGATGGTCAGAGGCCATAACATTGCCATAGGCTTGCTCCTCCTTCAGCTGTCCCCCTAGTAGTTGACATTTGTTCCTGTTTTACCTTAAAATGCGAACAACGCAATGGTGGACAAACTTGCCCGTTTTGCATGTTTTATTTCCCGGAGGTAGATTTCTGGAAGTGGCGTCACTGGGTGAGAGGATGTAAACTCGTTACTGTTCGTCCTGTGTGTCGTCAAGCAGGTTTCCAGAAAAGAAAGGCCGAGCCCCCGACACCCCTGAGCAGTGTGGGCCGCGCCAGCCGAGGTGGACCAGTGACCCGATAGGGCCTCCGTCCTGTTCTCATCCACTGGGACGACCCCTAAAACGGACCTGACCCAGCCTCACGCTCATGAAAACAGGTTAGCCAGTAACTGGAAGCAGTCAGTCCCACAGGCCCGTGGAAATCCCCGGGCCCCTTCCCACAGAACCTAATTGTCGTAGATAATAAATCCAGAGGGAGTGGCGAGTCCTGCCAGCACTCTCGAGTCAGCAGCTCTGTGCTGCGGTCTCAGGTGTCATCTGCTGGGACAACGCCAGTCCTGGTGAGAAATATGGGGCTTGGAGTCTGTCGTCATCAAGCCAGGCAATCATCATCATTCCCAACATGGATTGAGTATTTACTCAGGACATTGTGCGGATTAACTAGTCTAATTCTGATAATAATTCTAGGAGGGAGGCTTTCTCACTATGCCCATTGTGACAGTGGGATGAGGAAACGAAGGCACAGAAAGGTTGAGTAACTTGTCTGAGGTCACACAGTAAGTAGGTTGTGAAGACCCAGGGGATGGGGCTGAGACAGGGGAAGCAGTGGGCCTGTGCTCTGCAGCTGAGGAGTGAGCAGGCAAGCTCCTAAACTCCCAGAAACTCCGAAACTGTCTGTAAAACCAGGACCCTGACAGTTTCCAGTGAGGTAGGGTGGTGCCTGCTGTCCTGGCCTGTCCCTGAGCTTCCCCTGCTGCTGTTCCTCCTGTAGCCGCCTCTGCTTCCTTAGCTCTCTATGCGGAGGGCTGCCCGAGCCTGGACCCAGCTTCCCCAGCGCCTGCCTTTTGCATTGGATGCAGCTCTGTCACCTTTGGGCCTCTGAGGATCATGTCCCCCTTCTGTAGGGGTCCCCCTCCCCAGCCCAACCTCCCCGTGGCCTGTGGCTTTATCTACTCCACTCTTTTTAAAAAAATATAGATTTTATTGATTTTTTACAGAGAGGAAGGGAGAGGGATAGAGAGTTAGAAACATCGATGAGAGAGAAACATCGACCAGCTGCCTCCTGCACACTCCCTACTGGGGTTGTGCCCGCAACCAAGGTACATGCCCTTGGCCGGAATCGAACCTGGGACCCTTAAGACCGCAGGCTGACACTCTATCCACTGAGCCAAACCGGTTAGGGCTATCTACTCCACTCTTGACCAGCGCCCCCCATCCAGACCTTTCCTCCAGCCCACAAAGGGGGCAGCAGAGCAGGGTGAGGCTCAGGAATGTGCTGGTCCTGGTGGGAAATGCATGTCTCCTGTGGATCCAGCTGCAAAGTACATATGAAGCAATTATTTACCAAAGGAAAAGGCAGTAAAGGAGCTCAACAAATATTTGCTGAATGGGGACCACAAACGCCACTTTCCGTGATGCACACTCAGAAGCGTCTCTCATGGGAAAGCACTCTGAGGGCCCTGCACATGTGCATGGGAGCCCTGAGCCCTGAGCCGCAGGTGTGCATGGGAGCCCTGACCCGCAGTGAGACACAGGAGCCTCTGGGGAGGAAGTATCTGGTGCAGTGACTTCCAGTGAGTCCATGGCAACTGGTGTCAAGGCTGATGTGCTAAGTACCCCAAAGGGACTCCGGAGGCACTGGAGTGAGTAAATGCCCACAGTCCCTGTGCTAGAGGGGCTTCTCTGAGCGTCAGGCCTTGAGGACCATGTCCCCGAGCTCACTGCCCTGGGATGCGCCTGCTGGATACCTGCCTGGGAACCTCAGGGAGGGTGCGGGGGGGGGGGGGGGGGGGGGGGGACGGGCAGGAAGGAAGGCAGCTTTTATCCAATCATAGAGCCCCTCTCAGACAGAGGCACCAGCATTTGTGCCCAGGAGGGGGAGGGCTTCCCTCCCTCCCAGGCTTCCACCAGCAATGCCAGAGAAGGTTGCCCCTCCTGACTCCCAAAGGGATGCTGGGGTTTCAGGGGTAACTGCTGAGGATCGCAAATAGCCTGGTGACCTGAGGTCAGAGATTCACTCACACAGACACACACACACACACACACACACACACACACACACACACACACACGTACGCACATGCACGTATGCACACGGGTTTTGTGGGTGGCACATCCTGCAGCTCCAGGCCACTGGAGACAAAGTCCTGCTCATCCCTGCAGGCTCATGAGCCCAGGGAAGACTTGTGGGGAGATGGACAAAGGATAGGCGAGCGTTCGGAGGGGCATCTCCGGCACAGGCTGGAAGAGCAACGCCCCAGAGACTGGACTCGAGGACGCTAGCTTGGAGGCAGTGGTGGCCGAGACTGAGCTGGGGCAGTGGGTCCAAGAGAGAGGACTCGGTGAGGGCAGCACGGGGTGGTGGAGCACGTGGGTGGTCGGTTGTGCTGGGGTCTGGGAGGCCAGGGCGGCAGGCAGTGCCCGGACAGATTGGAGCCACTGCCCACCTGCTGGCTCTGCTCACGGCAGGTGGGGACAGATGGAGTCAGGCCTGGGGCTGGGGGCCCTGGGTGAGAGCAACATTACTGGGCTGTTCTTCGGCCGGGAGACCCAGGGGATCGGGGTCACGCCTGGCTCCGTTTCCCCTCCCGGGCCACTCCTCCCGCTGCCTGGGCCACACTCTGTTTTTTAATTCTTCTTGTTGCTGGCGCTTCAGACCTCCATCTGTTGTGCCGTCTTTCTCACGCAGGAGCCGGCAGGTGACTTCCCAGTCCCTGCGGACTCCTTCTGATTCACCCTTCCTGAGGCTGTGTGACCTTGGGACCTTGACTTGATGTTTACCTTAGATGTTTATCTGAGTCCACATCGGGCTCGGGCTGGGGGTTTAGATTTGCTTTGCTGGGAGGCGGGGAGGGGGCCTGAAGGGTTAGTCAAAATATACTGTTGGTTGCCATTTCAGCGCCTTTCAGCTGAGCCTACACTCAGTGCCACGCTGTGTGACAGGAGCTGGGTACGCGGAGGTGGGTAGGACATGCGCCCTCCCCGAGCAGAACAAGGGAAGGTGACATAGGAGCCAATAAACCACCAGGCGGAGAGACACATAGAGGCAGAGCTCACTGCGGGACACTGACACCACCCAAGAGTGAGCTTGACAGTAGGAAGGAGTGTTCAGGGAACACCTTCTGGGGGAGGCGACATTTGAGCTGGGTTTTGAAGGATGCATAGGAGTTCACTCCTGGTCCATAGTAGGGAAGGTCGGCAGGCATTCCAGCAGGAGGAATCGCTTCTGCAGGGCCTGGAGGACTGAATGGGCATGATGAGGACAGACGATGGTTATCAGTAAAGCCCTGCTGGGGGGCTGGGGTGACTGAGAGTGACCCTGGGGAGAAGGCGTTCACCTGGGAGAACAGTGCAGGCAGCTCTTTGCTGAGTGCTCTGTAGCCTTAAGCTGCGTGTGATGGACGTGTCCTGGCATTCTGCATCATGCCATCTTTTGCCCAGGACCGTCTCTTGTCTTGCCCTCAACCTCCCCTGCCCCTGAGTTTGGCCCTTCCATGACAGTCCAGCTCTGGGCACCTTTCCCAGCCACACTGCAGGGGCTGGAGCTGCTTCAGTGGCGGGTGGAGGGCAGGGGCCCCAGGAGGACTCAGCCAGGGGGCTGGTGGAGAGCTGTCCATGGGTGGCAAGACCCAGTGCTGAGGCTGAAGCATAGAGAAGGAAGGGCAACCTCCCCCCATCTCGACCACTGATCACCAAGTGGGCGCCACCTCAGAGGGCACCTGGGTACCAACAGGGCGGCTGGTCAGAACCAGGCATAAGAACCAGGGCAGAGATAGAGCCACACCCAGGGGTGGGGCAAAGGCACCAGTGAGGGCTGCCTGCCCTGGGCAGCAGTGTGGGGCCTGCAGCCCCGTGGCAGGCCAAGCCTATGGCTACACGGTCTCCCTCTGATGTAGCCGGTGGAGGCTTTTGGAAAGCTGGGGCTGCCAGGGAGGGGGTGGGGGGGCGGGGACACCCAGATCCACCCCCCGGGGAAGGGGTGCTCACCCCTTGGACTGTTTGCCTCCACACAGGGTGAAGGCTGGTACGTGTTGCTGGCCTGCTCACACTGACAGCTGATATTTACAGTACTTGGGGCTTTCCCTCTGATGGGCACTGTGCTGTGTGTTTTGAAAACGTTGCCTCCTTTAATCTTCATACCCGCTCTGCATGGGAGGTGCTGTCTGCATCCCTACTTAGAGACGAGAAACCACGCACAGGGCAGTTGCACACAGGGCCAAGGCCATGGCCGGCAGCGATGAGCCGTGCCCGGGACCAGCGCACGGTGCCCCCTCAGCCCTGAGCTGTATCCGCACTGCCTGCCTGCCGGTCTGCGGCCCGGCCCCCACGTTCACCGCAGCAACGGCTGATGGGGAGTGGGCGGCACTGGGTCCCTGTCCGGGTGGGGGAACCTCTGAGCTAAGCCATCCTGCTCCGCCCTCTCCCCTCGCCCAGAGGCGGGGCAGCTATGACCTGGGCCGCCCTCCTGGGCTGAGAAGCCACCGGGGGCTGAGTTCAGGAGATGCCCTTGGGACCGGGGACCCTCAGAGGCCCAGGGTACTTGGCTGGGGGCGAGGCACTGGCTCTTGCAGCCAGGCACTAATCCGAGAGGAATACTTGGTATTTCCAATCATTCCGGCTGGAATTAAACTTAAATCAGGCCCCAAAGCACAGCCAGGAGAATGTGAGCAACTTGCCAAAGAAACCAGGCCTGCGCAGAGGCTGGTCTGCTCCACAGGAAGTGTGTGCCGGAAAGCAGGAGGGGGAGCCGCGCACCCCTGCACTCCCAGGCACCCCCCATCCTCGGCCCCGCTATCTGGGCGCGTCCCTGGTAAACCACCCAGTGGTCGGGTAACAGGCACCTCAGCCAGGGAGGCAGCCGGAGGTCAGAGCTCTGGGTCTCACCAGGACTCTGCTGCTGTCACAGGTCCCTTTGCCCAGGGTCCCCTGGTTATAGTTGGTGGCATAGAAGCAGCCCAGTTTCGTGGCTGGGAACATGGGCAATGGAGCCAGTGTGCCCAAACCTGACTCCATCACCCAGTGTGTGACCACTACTAGCCCATGACCCTCTGGGCCTCAGTGTCCTGGTTTGGAAACCTGAGATAATTGGGTATTTGTGAGCATGAGGTCGGTAAATACACGTGAGGAGCTGTGCCTGGCTTATGCACGCACGTGTGTGAGCTGTTGTCATTCTCCTGGCCTCAGTTTCCTCACCAGCCGGATGAGGTTGGGGTGGTACTTGACCCCAAGGCCCTTCTCCAGGCGACATTCTCTAGCCATGGACCAGGCCCTGCCCCCAAAAGAGCACTTCCTTCCCGGGGGAGGTAGGGAGAGACTGGCTGGGCAGAGAGCATGGCGTGCTCCCCAAGACGCAGCTCACCCAGTGGCTGTGTGTACAGGGAGAGAGTGTGTGTGTGTGTGTGTGTGTGTGTGTGTCCAGGTGGAGTGCAGACAGCCAGCGTTCGGTTCTCTGTGGAAGTGCAGATGGGAACGTACCTGGGCAGGAGCCTGTCTGATGGGCAGGGGAGTAACCCAAACCTGCAGGGAGGGCTGAGGGGTAAGGTAGAAGGTGAAGATGTCCAGCAGAACCTAGAGGAGGAGCTGGAGAGTGGAGGCCGGGCCAGGTCCTCAGCGGGGGACACTGACCCCAACCTCTCTGAGGCTTTTATGTCGCCACAAGGCAGGTGAGGCTCAGGGGAGCCCCCTGAAGTCGTCAGTGGTCCCGTTTGGACTCGAGAACTCCTGTCCGACCCCCAGGCCCAGGCTTTGGTGCTGTTCCAGGCTACCCCTTGGGGGAAGGCAGACAGACCCGAGAGGCTGCCACCGGCCCTCACTCTGCACGGCTCAGATACGGGAGGCTCGCTGCCCAGACAGCGGGCGGTGTTGGGTGGGCATCCGGCTCCGGGGGGCAGTGGTCGCAGCTCCACGTGCTGAATGGCAGTGCCCCAGGTTTGGGGGAGGGAGGCTCTGGTGAGGAGAAGAGGGCCCGGACTCACGAAGCCAGGGCAGCCAGAGGCTCCAGCAGGGCAGCGAGGTGGGCAGAGA